CAACTCAACCAGCTTTTGTTAAAATATGCGGATCTATTTGCCATGAACGACAATGAATTAGGACGAACTAACAAAGTTCAACATACCATCGATACAGCCGACGCCAGACCAATTAAACAACGAGCCTATCGAGTACCACCAAAGTCCAATGAATTCATAACTGAAGAAATTCAACGGATGTTAACACAGGAAATTATCCGCCCATCTACTAGTCCTTGGTCGTCACCAGTAGTCTTAGTGAAGAAGAAAAATGGAAAATTGAGATTTTGCGTTGATTATAGAAAAATTAATGCAATAACAAAGAAAGACGCCTACCCACTCCCACGAATAGATGAAATCTTAGATGCACTAGGAGGATCTCAATGGTTTTCTACCCTTGACTTAGCCAGTGGATATTGGCAAGTTGAAATGGACCCTCATGATCGTGAAAAGACAGCTTTTATCACTCGCCAAGGTATTTACGAATTTAACGTAATGCCTTTCGGTTTAACGAACGCACCGGCAACGTTTCAACGCCTCATGGACGTAGTATATTCTGGCCTAGCTTGGACCTTCTTAGTAATATATTTAGACGATACAAATATTCACTCACCAACATTTAGTAGTCATCTTGACCACCTACGACAAACATTCGATCGATTACAAGATGCTGGACTCCGTTTAAACATTAAGAAATGTCACTTCTGCAAAGAGAACCTTGAATTTTTAGGACATATTATCGGAGGAGATGGAATAAAACCAGACCCCACGAAAATCGAAAAAGTAATTAACTTTCCACAACCCACCAATCTTACCGAATTACGAGGTTTCCTAGGACTGGCCTCTTATTACAGAAGATTCATTCAAGGATTTTCAGAGATTGCCAATCCTTTACATCAACTATTAAAAAAGGGTCAAGAATATATTTGGAATGAAGAACGACAAAAAGCATTTGATATTTTGAAAAAGAAACTTACCTCGGCACCGATCCTTATGTATCCAGATTTTAAACAAAAATTTACCTTGTCAACCGACGCTTCTAAATTAGGATTAGGAGCAATCTTATCACAAATTGACAATGATGGAAACGAACGAGTAGTAGCATACGCAAGTCGTGGATTATCACCAGCAGAAAAGAATTACGCCGCCCATGAAATGGAATGCCTGGCTGTCATTTGGGCTGTGAAATATTTTAGACAATATCTACTAGAGCAAAAATTCGATGTAATAACAGATCATATAGGACTCACATGGCTTGTTAAAAAGTCAACGCCAACTGGACGATTAATGCGATGGATCACTACTCTGCAAGAATACGATTTCGAAATTGTCTATAAACAAGGTCGAAAACACTCAAATGTCGATGCATTATCACGAATTCCTCAAACACCTGCCGAAACCTCCACTAGAAATAACCAACAACAACAATACCACAATTAATTAATAAATTATTACAACTAATGGAAGAAACAACCTATAACTTAATAAACAATTACCTTAATGATCCCGATAATATGGCGACATTATCGCTCGAACAACAAAATTACGTAAATAAATACGCAAAAAAATATTTAAAAATCAACGATAATCTATATCGACAGAAACAAAACACCAAGCCCAAACGGGTAATCAAACAAAATGAAAAAGAAATTATCTTAAAAGCTCTACACAGCGACGAAACAGCTGGACATTTAGGACAAAACATAACGAT